TCAGGAGGCTGAGATCTGAGGATCTTGGTTCAAAGCCAGCCTGGGCAGGAAAGTCCGTGAAAGTCTTATCTCCAATAAACACTCAGAAAACCGGAAGTGGCCTGCTGTAGCTCAAGGTAGAGTGCTAGCCTTGAGCTGAAGAGCTGAGGGACAGTGCTCAGGCCCAGAGTTCAAGCCTCACAACCAACAACAACAGCAAAAAAGAATCTCAAGGGTGGGTGCCAGTGGCTCCTTCCTGTAATCCTAACTACTCAGGAGGCTGAGATCTGAAGATCACGGTTCAAAGACAGCCTGGGCAGGAAAGTCTGTGAGACTCTTATCTCCAATTATCCACTAGAAAACCTGAAGTGGCACTGTGGCTCACATGGTAGAGCATTAGCCTTAAGCTGAAGAGCTGAGGGACAGCACTCAGGCCCAGAGTTCAAGACCCACAACCAAACAACAACAACAAAAATCTCACTCAATGACTTTTATGCCTGGGCTGGCTTTGAACTGCAATCCTCAGACTTCAGGCTCCTGAGTAGCTAGGATTACAGGCGTGAGCCACCATGAGCTAAGTCATATGACTTCTAAAGTGGAAAGATGCTTTGTCCCTCTTGTCGAGAGGCTAAGAAGCTGGCAAGGGTTCGTCTTCCTCTACCAAGGGATTGTGGAGCTACTGGAGCTGGTCAGGCTCTTCTCTTGGTGGGAAGCTAGAAGGGAATTTATTCCTAGCCACAGTATTGACATTCAGGCTGCTGTTTCCAGAAATGAGTTAGAGCTCCAAACTGAGTTTCTGGGAAGAGGATACTTATGAGACAGTGGGAATTATTTCTTGTCCTGCATGCTGGGAAGGGGGTGGGAGTGAGACAGGTGTTATGCCCCTAATCAGTCCAGGCTAGAGTCTGACAGGTGTCAGCTTCTCCATGTACCAGGCTGGCCAGAGAAGGAGCCATGAGGAAGGGCCCATTCTCAGTCTGTGAAGGGTCTAGGCTGCTGTTTCCAGCGGAGTAAGACCTAATTTTCATGGTAAAAGGCAGAGAATTGGTCCAAACTGAGACCATGGGGAAAATGAGAGGTGATCCATGTGGCTTCACATCCCATCTTAAATTGATATCACGATTGGGTAAGAGCTGATCATAAGGAAGATGGATCGATAACATAACCCAGCCCCTTTCTGCCTGGAACAAGGCGTGGGACAGGAGAGGTGTGTAGGCAGAGAAGAAGTTACAGACCAGGGAACAGGAATAGCCTGGAAGGGACCTTGGCCTGGATGGCTGCTTCCCCTCTGGCCCCACTGCTCACAGTCAAGTCAAATGTAGCCTAGAGAATCTGACACTAAAGGAGAATCAGGGAGAGCACTGTGTTTCCCTGCCCTGCGAGCTTCTGAAGCTGTCATACTTTCCTGTTTCTTTCCTACAGACAAGAAGTGCAGGTCTGGGCGTTGCCAGCTGGATAGCTCAGGTAAGGACTGCAGGCATTGTGGGCCACAGTGCAGGGATGCGCAAGCCCTTCCCTAAATTATAAGGAAAACTACCTCTTTATCAGAAAAGTAGACCCTCTTAATTAGACTGCTGCAGGAGCCTCCATCTTCTCCTGGGTATCCGGGGCAGTAAATCCACTTGTTCTCCAGCAACGCCCCTTCACGCCCCCCCTCCACTCCCATCACAGTAGACAGCCATTGCCAGATCCAGAGTCCCAGGCTGCTCCCTGCTGACCTCCCACTGTCTATTGTCCTCAGGTGCTCTAGTCCAGGCTCTCCCCTAACTTTCTCCATGACTAATCCATTCTTCCTCTAGGTCCCAGTTTCACTATTTGGAATAAGCAAACAGAACCAGATAACTCCAGTTCCCTTTCAGCTGTGACTCCTCTCTCTTTGCACATCTGCTGTGCCAGGCCTTTTCTAGGCAGGAATGGCTATTTCCAGTGAAGAAACAGTAGCTTTCCCATTCCAAGCAGTGGGGTTCCCCTCTCTCCCTCCCTCCCTTCCTCTCCTACTCAGGACTCTGTGAACAGTGGGAAAGAAGCATCCCCAGCCTCTTTGTTTCTTCATCTTCCTTACAAAATAATACTCAAGACTTCCAGAGACATCATGCTGTGAAAGCTTCACCATACTCCAAGAGTGTAGATAATAGTACCACTTGTTCTAGAGAGGACAGGATCCAAAGAGAACCAACAGCCCCTGGCCCACAGCTAGTAAGGTGTGAAATCCAGACAGCTGGGCTCTGCAGTAACATTCGGAACCACTCTACTAGGACAGCTCCCACCCTCCTCAGACATCATTTCAACGTTAGGAACTATAGTCTATTGCAAAGAGGCAGAATGTAAATATTACCCTCTTATAGTGAAGTGAAACCAGAGACAGGAATGGCTTGCCCACAGTGACACAGTCAGTAAGTGGCAGATCAGAAGTCAGGTCTCCAGGCTCCAACCCAAGCCTTATATTTTTAACGTGGTATGTGGGAGTGAACCCCAGTGATGAGTGCAAGCTGGCCACGTGCTCTACCTCCGAGCTACACTTTCAGCCATCCTTTACTTTGAGACAGGGGCTTGCTAAGTTGCTCTGCTTAGTCTTTAATTTATGAACATCCTGTCTCAGGCTCCTGAGTGGTTAGGATTGCAGGCATGTGCCACCATGCCATCTTTTTACAAATTTTTGTTTTCTGAGACAGTTTTTTTTTTTTCCAGGTAGCCAAAGCTAGTCTGGAAATTGCAAGCCTGCCTGAGCCTTCTTTGTGCTGGGATCATAGACTTGCATCAGCATGCCTGGCTTAGGCCTCTTTGAATTTGGGTTATGTATAATTTCAGGTTTAGGATTTCCCCTTCACACTCCACCCAGTACATCGTCTTCCAGGAAGTGGGAAGGAGAGCCAAATTCAGCATCACTAAATCCCCTTCCTATCTGCCCCATATCCCACCCCATCCTACATCTCTTTTGGTTGGTCTACAGAGGCAGGGCGCTGCATCTGATAACCTTTCAAGAACTGGGGCTCTACTTGGTCTCAACTCTGTCTACTTTCCTTCCTGAGTTCTTGCTCTTTCTCCTATCTCTTTTCCTATTTTGTGTATAAGTCCCTTTTCAGCTTGTATCTTCATGTCTTCACTATGCTCCTAAATCTCTCTTTTCTGGGCTGGGAGTGTGGCTTAGTGGTAGAGTGCTTGCCTAGCATGCATGAAGCTTTGGGCTCAATTCCTCAGTACCACATAAGCAGAAAAAGTCAGAAGTAGTGCTGTGGCTCAAGTGGTAGAGCGCTCACCTTGAGCACTGAGAGGTTCAAGGACAAAGCCCTGAGTTCAAGCCCCAGGGCTGGCAAAAAGAAATTAAAAAAAAAAATCTTTTGCTGAGCACCAGTGGCTCACTACTGTAATCCTTGCTACTCAGGAGGATGAGGTCTGAGGATCATGGTTCAAAGCCAGCCAGGGCAGGAAAGTCCATGAGACTCTTATCTCCAATAAATCACTAGAAAACCAGAAATGGCGCTGTGGCTCAAGTGGTAGAGCGCTCACCTTGAGCTGAAGAGCTGAGGGACAGCGCTCAGGCCCAGAGTTCAGGCCCCATGACTGACAAAAACACCAAATCTCTTTCTTCTCCTGTCTCTGTCTTTCCTGCAGCGATGGGCCAGGGCCCCCTCGCTACCATCTGGTCCTTCCTGCTGCTGTTCTTGTTCCTTATGCTGGACCTTCCAGAAGGTCAAGGCCTCCTCTGACCCACAGACACTGAACTTCCCACCTTCACCTCTGCCTACTGGAAGACGTCAGCCAGCTGTGTGCTTAAGTGGAGCCAAGATCTCTGGTAGACCCATCTTGGACCTTCTCTGGCAGCTGCCAGACCTGCCAGTAGAGAAACAGGAGGGAATGTGGGGACTAGACCTTTTCCTGGTTCCTAAGACTGAGACTTTGGCTAGGGGTTGGAAGGTTCCCAGGATAGGCAGTGACTCATGTGGAGACAGACAACTGCAACACGAGGGGTTGGGGAGAGCACTGGAAGGAGAGCACTAGGCCACGGGACTTGCTGATGTCATTCCAATGCCTCATCTATTCATCTGGAGAGCTCTCATTTATTCCTCCAGGAAGGCTTTTCTGACCTCTGCCATCTGGTTGGGTTAGGGGCCTAGACTCTCTGCTCCCATGGGTCACTCGGGGAGTTCCTATGTCAGATTGTAAGCTTCCTCAGGGCAGAGATGGGGGAACTGTATGAAAGGAAGAAACCAATATGAATGGCTGGTCACTGCATTGCCCTATCTTGGACACTGTTGAGCTCTCCAATTATCATTGTGCGTGGATGCGATAGTCTGTGTCATCTCTGAGGAAGGACAGCTGGAGAAATGGTAGAGAGAGCTTTCGGGCCTCTCCCAAGGCCAGTTGCTAACGCCTGGTCATTTTCTTGGCAACAAAGATATCATTTCTAGGGCTGGGGGGTGGGGCATACCTCAAGTGGTATCAAGTCTGAGGCCTTGTGTTCAAACCCTAGTCCTGTGAAAAAAAAAGAAAAGATTATTTCTGTGCTGATCCACGAGTTCCTGCCTCTGGAGACAGACCTGGATCCACAAACTTCCACCATCATGGATCTTGAGAAGAAGACAAGACACTGAAGCACACATTTAGTTTATTATAAGCTGAAGCTTTGAGATGAAATGTCCTCATGGCTTGATCTAGAAATCAGACCATGAATTTCCCTTCCTAAGTGTCTCGGCAGAAAGAACCATGGCAGAGTCTCTAATAGCTACAGCGTAGGGAGACAGGAAATACAGCAGCTCTGTCTCTCATAATAATCAGCACTCTCTCTACTAAGAGCTCTAATGAACAATGATTCTCGTCCCTCCAAGTCTACACTTAGAGCTTTTTTTGTGTTGGTAGTGGGGCTTGAACTCTGGGCCTGGGCACTGTCCCTTAGCTCTTCAGCTCAAGGCGAACCCTCTACCATGTGAGCCCCAGTGCCACTTCCAGTTTTCTGGTGGTTTATTGGAGATAAGGGTCTCATGGACTTTTCTGCTCTGGTAGGCTTTGAACCATGATCCTCAGATCTCAGCCTCCTTAGTAGCTAGGATTACAGGCATGAGCCATCAGCGCCTGGCTACACTTTAGGAATTAGTGGGTGGCAGGCTCTGGATTTCCCTTAGTTAGAATTTGTAGACAACAAGAGTTCTCATGGGTCGTGAAGTTAGTATGCTGGGCCAGGGTGTTCCAGATTCTTAACAGCAGTAGAGAGGGATTAGTCTATCTGAGGACCAACAACTAACCTGGCCTTTGCCATCCCTGCCTGGAGGTGCTCCAGCCTTTCACAGGGCCTGTACCAGCACCAGGAGGCTCATGACCAGGGCCATGGAGAAGAAGATGCCCAGGAAGAAACGGTCCATCACACGAGCCAGGCGCTTCCAGTCCTCATGGCGGCGCTGGGCAGCCCTATGGCTTCGGAAGGTGCTGGCAATGGTGGCTACATGATGCAGGAGGGCTTCCTGGTGGCAAAGACACCGAGGCTCGTGGCAAGGGCCTGCTGGGGGGACAGTAGGAAGCAGGGGGCTAGGAGATGACTTGGCTGGCTGGGAATGCCCACAGGGTTCTCCTCGTTCTCGAACACACAGGCCTTTTGCTAGGTGTCCCAGCAGGAGGGCCCGAGCCCAGGCTGGCACCGGGCGAGCGTTGGGACCACAGTAATGCAGGTTCATGATAAGGATGGTTAGCGCTGTGGAGAATGTGACCATGGTCATAGTGGCCATATAGTACTTTCCTGCAAGACAGACAGAGTGCCAGTTGGGGCCCAAAGCAATGACTTGAGGATCCTCAGCTTCCTAGATACCTCCCCACAACTACGAAGAAGCTCACCATGAGGCTCTCAGGACCCTTCAAGTCCAATGGGCAGAAAAAGGAAGGAGCTAAGAGCCAAGTTCTCCTTATTTCTCATCACTACTAGTGCTCTCAGAATCTACCTGTTCTCAAATTGTTGCTACTACTGGAGACTCAAATGGTATGGGTTTAACTGGGTAAGATACTGATCTGGGGCTGGGAGTGTGGCTTAAGTGATAGAGCATCTGCCAACAAGCATGAAATCCTGAGTTCAAAGCTCAATAGAAATAAATAAGGAAATAAACAACAACAACAACAAAAGCCAGGTGTCAGTGGCTCATGCCTATAATCCTAGCTACTCAGGAGGCTGAGATCTGAGGATCAGTTTGAAGCCAGCCAAGGCAAAAAAGTCCCTGAGAGTCTTATTTCCAAATAAGAGGTTAGAGGTTGTGGTTTAGGTGGTAGGGTGACTGCCAATGAGTGAAAGTATCAGAGTCCCAGTGTCTCTGTCTCTCTGCCTCTTCCCCCTCCCCACTGTTTCTCACACACACACTCCAAAAAAGCCAGAAGTAATGTTATAGCTCAAGTGCTAGAACACTAGCCTTGAGCAAAAAAGCTCAGGGACACTGCTCAGGCCCTGAGTTCAAGACCCATGACTAGCATTAAAAACAAAACCCAACAACAACAAAACAGTATTCTCTATACATCTAGAATAACCAGAGAACTTGCATCATAGGTTTGTGGAGCTTACCTGAGCTAATAAACATCAAATAGGAGAATGCTTAGCATGCAAAGGGCACACAATCATTCGACTACGGTTACATCCAAGACACACAGATCTTCCTATCTCTCTCTACCTCACTGCCAAACCCCTGACAATTCTGGGATTTGAACTCTTGGCCTCACACTTGCCAGGTAGATCTTCTATGCCATCCTTTTTTACACTTTTTTGTTGTTGTTGTTGGTTGTGGGGCTTGAACTCAGGGCCTGACTGTTGTCCTGAGCTTTTCTGCTCAAGACTAGTTCTCTCCCACTTTGAGCCACAGCGCCCCTTCTGGTTTTTTGGTGGTTAATTAGAGATAAGAGTCTCACTGACTTTCCAACCCAGGCTGGCTTTGAACCAAGGTTCTCAAATCTCAGCCTCTTGAGTAGCTAGGATTACAAGCGTGAGCCACGGTGCCTGTTCTGGTTTTTGTTTTGATTTTTAGATAAGATCTTGCTTCCAGACGTGGCACTGTGTCTCAAGTGGTAGAACGCTGGCCTTGAGCTGAAGAGCTGAGGGGCAGCGTCCAGGCCCAGAGTTCAGGCCCCACGACCGACATAAACAAAACAAAACAAAACAAACAAACAAGATCTTGCTTCCTGGGCGTGCTGGTAGTGTACGGCAATCCTCTTGGCCGGACATACTTCTGGCCGCTAATAGGCAGCTTAAGAGGCCCGTGCCACAGCCCCTAGCGTCTTGAGATGGGGATCTCAGGGACTCTTCGGCCCAGGCTGGCCTAGAACCAATCTCACTCTCCCAAGTAGCTAGAGTTGACCTTTCCGTTCAAGGAAAGAGGGACTCTCGGCGCCGGCCCCCATCCTTCCCCCGCACCGGCCTCACCGATGAGCGGCACGCTCTCGGCCGGCGGCATGCTCTCGGCCAGGATCAGCTGGAAGACGGTGAGCGCCAGCAGCACGGTGACGCCCAGCGACACCTTCTCGCCGGAGTCTGCGGGCAGGTGGAAGGCAAGCGGCGCGAGCAGCGAGATGAGCACGCAGGGCAGCAGCAGGTTGCACACGTAGGCGGCGGCGCGGCGGCGCAGCAGCAGCGTGAAGGTGACGTCGGGGTAGGGCTCGGAGCAGCAGCCGTACGTGAGCACGCGCCGGCGCGCCGGCATGCCCAGCACGCGCCACTCCACGTTCTCCACGAAGTCCGCCAGGCCGGCCGAGGCGCCGCGCGGACGCACGTCCAGCTGGTGGCCGCCGTGCGTCCACGAGCCGAACGTCAGGCCGCAGCGCTGCGCGTCGAACGGGAAGGCGGACACGTCCACGCGGCACGAGCTGCGCGTGATGGCCGGGGAGTCCCAGCGCACCGCGCCGTCGTGACGCACCACCACGTTCGTGTTGACCGACGCTGGCGCCTGCGTGTCTGCCCTGCAGACGAGTAGGACGGGGGCGGGGGGGGGGGGCGGTGAGGGGGTCATTGGGGGCAGATGTCAGAAACCCGGGCGGGACGGGGGTGGGGGGGGGTGGGGGGGGGAGGGGAGCTCTTTGAGGGGAGGTGTCCTGGAGGCTGGGGTAGTGCCCAGGGGTGGGTGGGGGGGCTTAGAAGGCACACAGGCCTAGCCCTGGGCAGAGTAGAAAAGCCTCAGGAAAGACCTGTAATCCAAGGCTGAGATCCGAGGATTACAGTTTGAAGCCGGCTCAAGCAGAAAAATCTATGAGACTCTTATTTCTAATTAGCCACCAGTAGAACTGTAGCTCAAATAATGGAGCATCAGCCTTACCCAAAAAGGCTCAGGGACAGCTCCCAGGCCCTGAGTTCAAGCCCCAGTGCACACACATGCGCACGTGCGCACGCGCACACACACACCTGGTGATAGTAATGGGCAGGTCAGTGTCACCTTGGGAATCATCTACAAAACTCATTAGAGGGACCCAGGAAGCTTTGCAGCACTACACATTAAATGGGAGGCACTGAACTGGTTAATGTGGCAGAAAGGAATGTCCTTGAGGGAGGCCCAGAGGGAGCCAGCCCTGAACCTCAGAGCTAGTCTGGAAACAGGTAAGGTACCATAGAGAGGTACTCACATCCCAGACTTGTCATTCATTCACTCATTTATTGGTGGTACTGAGGATTGAACTCAGGGCCTCATGCATGCAAGTGTGAGGTAGGCAAGCACTCTTATCCCTTGAATCCTATCACCACATCCCCATACTAGGAGAGAGAGTAGGGCTCTCAGTAGACATTCAGCCTGATTTGGCCTTCTGTACCTAAAGTGGGGTTGCTGTGAGCTCTTGGCAGCTTTCCTTTTGGTACCAGGGGAAAGTTTCCAGGGCAGCAGGGTAACCAGACTGGGGTGGGGTTGGGGTGGGGAGGGGTCTCAGTGCATGTTCAGAGCTAAGGGCAACTCTACAGAGAGGCAAGAGAGGGAGGGACCCAGGCAGGCAGTACTTGTTGTAGAGTACGATGTCTGGTCGCCACACAAGACTGCTGGGGATGCGGATGGCATCCAGGCCACCGTAGGCATCTGGGTCCCATCGTAGGTAGGCATCAGACCACTCCTGCCGGATCCACAGGTACAGGGTCAGCACCTGATTCCGTTCATCCTGGTGGGGGGAGGGGACAAGGAGGGGACGTCGGTATATGTGCACACTTTCCTCAGTGCAGACATCTACAAACCCAACTTGTCCGTACAGTGATTCCCTCCCAGGCCTGACCTTGCTGGATTCTTCCCTTCTCTGGGCCTCAGTTTCCCAGGTGCATGAGGTGGTAACACGCTTAGCAGGGAGTCAATAAGTTCAAGTGTGTAAAGTGCAGGGCACCCAGTGCATACCTAACAGTTAGTGGCTGTTATTATTGTTAATCTTAACACAGGAAAAGAACAGTCCCACACTCTCTTACCTCTTCCTGGAACACTGTTACAGAAACATTCCATAGCAGAACCATTACCACAACATACCATGTCGATGATCTGGGACAGTGTCACCTCCAGGGTCACATTCAGAGTCTGGTCTGTGTCTGCCACAGGTCTCAGGGCACTTTTGTAGTTGGTGAATAGGTCACGGAACAGCTTGTGAGCCAGCTTGCCCTCAGCTCCCAGGCACTCTGTATCAGTCAAAAGGGCTTCTGTGCATACCCTTCAGCCATATCTGCTTCCACTGTCTCAGCCTTTTGATGGTCTCCTTATGCTTGTCCTCTGTCCTGGCTGTGGCTCTGGTTTGTTTCTCTCTGTCTCTGTCTCTCTATCTCTCTGTCTCTCTCTGTCTCTCTCTCTCTTTTTGGTTGTGGGGCTTGAACTCTGGGCCTGGACATGTCCCTCAGCTCTTCAGCTCAGAGCGAGTGCTCTACCACATGAGCCACAGCACCACTTCTGGTTTTCTGGTGGTTTATTGGAGATAAGTGTTTCACTTTCCTGCCTGGGCTGGCTTTGAACTGCAATCCTCAGATCTCCTGAGTAGCTAGGATTACAGGCATGAGCCACCAGTGCCTGGCAGCTCTGGTTTCTTCTTGGTCACCTCTAAGGGGTGAATGAGCTAAAGGCCTTGTACTATCTTCCAGAGCGATACTGGCCTCTTACACTCTTTTCAAGGACCTGGATTCTGTCTGTCATGCCTTAAAACTAGAGGGACCCAAATAGCCCACAAGAGTCCAGACTTTCACCTAAGTATTTTAAACTCCATTTACCCTGTCCTCATTTTTCAAGCCTGTTTTTACTTCTCCTTCGGTTCCTCAAAGCTTCTATATATGGAGCATTCCATGTTCCGCAACTAGCCACTAGGATTTTATTTTATTGAGACAGGTTTTGGTTGTGTTACTCAGGCTGGTATCAAATTCCTGGGCTCAAGGCATCCTGCTTCAGCCTTTCAAGTAGCTGGGATTATGGGTACCTGCCATTTTCTAAAAACACACTCTTCCTAGGCTTTTATGACATACATTTTCTCAGTCCCTGATGCAAATAATGTGTACCAAAACCCTGTCCTCTTCATTTAGTCTCTCCCTCCTCCCTTCTCCATCTCCTGTCCCATCTTCCTTTCCTCCTTCCTCTCTCCCTCCCTCCTTCCTCCTTCTCTCCCTTCTTCCCTTCCTCTCTTCCTTCCTTCCCTCCATCCTCTTTCTCCTCCCCTCTCCTTTCCTCCCTCTCCTCTATCACCTCTCTAGTCCAAACTCTTCCTCCTTCACTCAGACTACACAATAACAGCTTGTCATTACTCCCCTGGCCTGGAGCTTATCCTCACTTCCTGTCTATTCTCAATTTTTTGTTTTATTTTGCTTTGCTTTTTTCGTTTTCTAGAGATATAGCCCAGGTTGGCCTCAAACTCTTGATTTCCCTGCCTCCACCTCTTCAGTGCTGGGATTATGAGTGTGCACCACCATGTTTGGCACACACACCCACACACCCACGTGCACAGGTCCTGGGGCTTGAACTCAGAGCATAGGTGCTGTCCCTGAGCTTTGTACTCAAGGCCAGCACTCTATCACTTGAGCCACAGCTCCACTTCTGGCTCTTTAGTAGTTTGTTGGAGATAAGAATCTCAGTCTTTCCTGCCTGGGCTGGCTTTGATCTTCAGCCTCCTGAGCAGCTAGGATTACAGGGTATGAGTCCTAGCACCTAGGGGCTCCCACAGTCTTTTTTATTTCCCAGTCCTGAGACTTGAACTCAAGGCCTGGGCACTATCTTTGAGCTTCTTGTGTTCAAGGCTAGCACTCTACCACTTGAGCCACAGCACCACTTCCGGCTTTTTCTGTTTATGTGTTACTGAGGAATTGAACCCAGGGATTCATGCATGCTAAGCAAGCACTCTACCATTAAGCCACATTCCCAGCCCATCCCACAGTCTTTTAAACTGACTAAATCTGACTAGGGCAAGGTCTGCTTAAAACTTTCCAGGGTCCCAGTGGGTGCAGGTAAAAGCACTAGCCTAGCATTCAGGGCCCTTTATGATTTGCTTCTCTGACTTTTCAGCCATAATTCTGGAAGTTTCCTTGTCCTTGCTCCCACTTCAGCCATGCAAGTAACCCCTCTCCTCCACATTCCCCAGATGGAAAGCTTATTCTTAGCACAGCTACTGAAAAGAAAGTTAACAAAGACTGTGGAGAGAGATTTGTGTTGGATAGGAATAACAGCAATGCCAGGGGAGGCCAGGGCTGGCTCATACCTGCAGGGAGTAGCAACAGGAACAGAAAGGCCAGATGGAGACGGTGGCTTCCAGTCCTCATGGTCCTGACACAGCCAGAGGTGAGGTGGGTCTCCTAGTCAGACCTAGGGCAGCATCAGGCCCTGATGGCAAGGATAATGTAGACAGTACCTGGAAATCAGAAAGACAGATCTTTGGTGGGCCCGGATACTCTCTAAGGAGTCCCTAAACTCTTCTAGTTATCTGACCCTACTGTTTGTACCTGCCCTGCAAATATTAGTATTCGGTTCTTACCATCTGCCATTTCTCCTCTTCTAGTCCTTGCCTCTCTGGCCTCAACATCGGCCCTTTCCCTATGCCATGCACCTCTGTTTACCTCTTGCTCTCTCAATTTTCTTTGTCTTTTCCTCTATAACCATCTTGGTCTCTATCTATTTCCCTTCTCCTCTCTCCTACTTCTTTCTATTTCAGACCCCTGGCTTTGATCTTCCGTGCCTCATACCCCGGCCTTGGATGAGCCAATGAGCCTGCTGCTCTCAGCAGAACAAGACCAAGAACTCTTCTCTGTCCCAAAGAGTGTGAGGCACAAGACAGTGGCCTCTCCCTCTTGGCACTTCCTGTTAGCTTAATTACATGATTGGGACACCTGTACCCATGGAAACAGCAACTGAAACTGACACTTCAGGCTGTTGGGACCTAAATTATTTATATTTTGTAAAGCAATACTCAGACTCAACTCAACCCTTTGGAGATAATGAGATAATTTTACGTTACATATCCTTATGTGCCGCATTTTCTTTATCCATTCACAAGTTGTTGATTCCATCTCTTAGCTATCGTGAACAAAACTGCAATAAATAGAGTCCAAAGCATGATTGAGTAGGGATACGTAGAAGACTAGGACTTCAGGGAGTGCAGGGGCAGGACCTGTAGATTGGAAATGTCCCCTCAAGCACTCCCACCATTGCTGGAATCCGTTAAGAGTCCTGTAGCTCTTCCCAGTGAAGAGTGAACACATCATGCCGGCTTGCCATGCAGGCTCTGCCCTCCTGATGGCAGTGGTGCTGACACCTCAGGCCACTCCAGATGGCCCACAGAGCGGGTCCCTGCAGTCATTCCCATTGGAGACAAGTTTTTCACAGTGTCGTCACTGGAGAGTGTGAGGTAATAGACAAAACATAAGCTTTAGAATCACTTTCAGCTCTGCTTTTTTAACGTGCATTCTACACACACATATATGTATAAATACACACGTATATATCTATATACTCTACCACATTGAGCAACAGCTCCACTTCCTGGTTTTCTGGAGGTCTAGAGCTTAATTGGAGATAACAGTCTCATAGAGTTTCCTGAGCTGGTTGGCTTCAACCCATGATCCTCAGATCTCAGCCTCCTGAGTAGCTAGGATTACAAGCATGAGCCACCAGTGTCAGTTGCATATATTTTAATTAGAGTAATATCCTCTATTACTTTTCCTGCATGACTGATATTCTATTAGCAGCTTTCAGTGCAATTTCCTGTGCCATCTTCAAACATAGTTGAAATTCTTTTTTTTTTTTTTTTTTAGGTCGTGGGGCTTGAACTCGGGGCCTGGGAGCTGTCCTTGAGCTCTTTGCTTAAGGCTAGCACTTCTACCACTTTGTGCCACAGCACCACTTCCAGTTTTCTGGTGCATAATTTGAGATGAGAGTCTCTCAGACTTGCCTGCCCAGGCTGGCTTTGAACTGTGATCCTCAGATCTCAGCCTCCTGAGGAGTTAGGAGTGCAGGCATGAGCCACCAGCGCCTAGCAGTTGAAGTAATTTTGATATTATTCATCCTCCATCATTTTCTTTTTCCCTTTCCCCTCTTTCTTGTTATCTCAGAAAATACCATAGTTACAGTTTTGTTTTGTTTTTTGTTTTTGAATCCAGTCATGGGCCTGAACTCTGGGTCTGGGTGCTGTCCCTCAGTTCTTCAGCTCAAGGCTAGCGCTTTACCACTTGAGGCCACAGCGCCACTTCTGGCTTTTTGCTTTTTGCTTATGTGGTGCTGAGGAATCAAACCCAGGGCCTCATGCATGCAAGGCAAGCACTCTACCACTGAGCCACCTTCCCAGCCCCATAGTTACAGTTTTATACTAATTATATAAGTATGTAAGTATTCATAATCATGTATACATACAAATATATGTATATATGTGTCTTTAAAGTCAAGATTCTGCAAACATGGAATATTTGCTCTTTGGGCTTGGCTTATCTGGCTCAACATGATGGTCTCAATTTTACTTTTCTTTATGACTGAGTAATATCCATGGTATGTGCATACCAACTTCTTTATCCATTCATCAGTTGTTGGGTAACTTGGCTGATTCTACCTTTTGGCTGTTGTGAACAAAACTGTAATAAGCATAGGTGTGCAGGCATCTTTCTTGTGTATGCCCAGGAGAGGTATGGTGGGGTCATAAGGTAGATCTAATTTTAACTTTTGGAGGAGCCTTCATATTGACTTCCATAGTGGTTGCACTAGTTTACATTCCCTCTAGCAGTATAGAAGGGTTCCTTTTTCACCACATCCTTTCCAGCATTTGTAGTTTGTTTCATTATTACCATTCTGATTAGGGTGAGATGAAATTTTAGTGTGCTTTTGACTTGTACTTCCTTTATGGATAAGGGGGTTGAACATTTCTTCTTGGTTTTTATTTTTAGCCATTTGTATTTCATATGTGAACTGTCCATTCAATTTGTTTGTCCATTTATTAATTGGAATATTCTTTTACTGTTTGATTTTGAGATTGGAAGGATCTAAGTTCAAGGCCAGCTTAGTTAAAAAAAAAAGTTGCCAGGCATCAGTGGCTCACGCCTGTAATCCTAGCTACTCAGGAGGCTGAGATCTGAGGATTGCAGTTCAAAGCCAGCCTGGGCAGGAAAGTCCATGAAACTCTTATCTCCAATAAACCACTAGAAAACTGGAAGTGGCACTGTGGCTCAAGTGGTAGAGTGCTAGCCTTGAGCTGAAGAACTGAGGGACAGTGCTCAGGTCCAGAGTTCAAGCCCCACGACCAAAAAAAAAAAAAAAATAAAAGTTCATGAGACTTCTCAACAGAGAACACACTCCTGTTATCCTAGCTACAGTAGGATACCTAAAGGCAGATCATGCTTAGGAACACGCCCAAGCAGGAAGTGGGACCCTATCTCAGAAATAACCAGTAGAAAACAGGGCTGGAGGTATGGCTCAGCAGTAGTAGAGCCTGCCTAGCAAGAAGCTCAGAGTTCAAACTTCAGTACTACTGCCCAAAATCAGATGGCTTGAACTGTGTGGTTTTACTTCTGAGTGTTCCATTTAATATGTCTTCATGTCTGTTTATTTTGGTGTATGTATTGGTAACATGCTGTGTTTGTTACTATAATACTGTAGTATAATGGGAATGTGGCTTAGTGGTAGAGTGCTTGCCTTGCATGCATGAAGACCTGGGTTCAATTTCCCAGAACCACAGACACAGAAAAAGCTGGAATTGGTTCTGTGGCTCAAGTGGTAAAGTGCTAGCCTTGAACAAAATGAAGCTCAAGGACAGTGCCCAGGCCCAGAGTTCAAGCCCCAAGACTGGCAAAAAAAAAAAAAAAAAGCCGACCACTAGTGGCTCATGCCTGTAATCCTAACTACTCAGGAAGCTGAGATTTGAAGATCACGATGCAAAGCCAGCCTGGGGAGGAGAGTCTGTGAAACTCTTATCTTCAGTAAACCACCAGAAACCAGAAGTGGTGCTGTGGCTCAAGTGGTAGAGCACTCGCCCTGAGCTGAAGAGCTGAGGGACAGTGTCTAGGCCCAGAGTTCAAGTCCCATCACAAAAAAAGAAAAAGAAAAGAAAAAAAGAAAAAAAAAAAGGATCTTTTCCCAATTGGTTGGCTACCTTTCTAGTTTAGTAACTATGCCTTTAGCTGTGCAGAAGCTTTTTTTTTTTTTTTTGGTCGGCCGTGGGGCTTGAACTCTGGGCCTGGGCGCTGTCCCTCAGCTCTTCAGCTCAAGGCGAGTGCTCTACCACATGAGCTACAGCGCCACTTCCGGTTTTCTGGTGGTTTATTGGAGATAGGAGTCTCACGGTCTCTCCTGCCCGGGCTGGCTTTGAACCGCGATCCTCAGATCTCAGCCTCCTGAGTAGCTAGGATTACAGGCGTGAGCCACCAGCGCCCGGCTTGTGCAGAAGCTTTTTATTTTAAGGTAGTCCCACTTGAGTCTGTCTCCTATCTGTTGTACCCCTGGGACTCTATTCAGGAAGTTCTTGCCTGTTCCTTTAAGTTCTAATGTCTCTCCCACTCTCTTGAAGTAGAGTTTCAGAGTTTCCTGTCTGACATTGAGGTCTTTGATCCACTTTGAATTAATGTTGGTGCATGGTGACAAGCAGGGATTCACTTTTAGTTTTCTGCATATGGCTGCTCAGGTTTTTCCAACATCAATTGTCGAAGAGGCTGTTTTTCCCACTGTATGTCTGTGGCTCCTTTTTTTTTTTTTGGTTGGTTGTGGGGCTTGAAATCTGGGTCTGCGTGCTGGCATGCTGTACCTCAGCTCTTCAGCTCAAGGTGATTACTCTACCACTTGAGTCACACCACCACTTGCGGTTTTCTGATTGTTTATTGGAGATCAGTCTCATGGACTTTACTGCCTGGGCTGACTTTGAACTGTGAACCTCAGATCTCAGCCTTCTGAGGTAGCTATGATTATAGGCGTGAGCCACTGGTGCCCAGTCTGTGGCTCCTTTTTTGAATATCAGATGACTGTGGCCTTATTTCTGGGTCTTCTAATCTGTTCCATTAATCTTTGGGTCTATTTTTGTGTCAAAACTAAGCTGTTTTTGCTATTGTGGCTTTGCAGTAGTTTGAAATCTGGTATTGTGATATTGCTTGAATTTTTTTTTTTTTTTTTGCCTAGAACTGTTCTGGCTATTCTAGATCTTTTGCTGTTCCATTAGTTTTTGGATTGGATTATTTTCTCTCAGTAAAGAATGTCATTTGGATTATGATGGGGATTGCATTGAATTTGTACATCATTTTTGGCAGTATGGCCATTTTCACAATATTGATTCTACCTATCCATAAATGTGGAAGTTCTTTACGTTTCCTGATGTCCTCTTTGATTTTCTTAGATTTTCATAGTTTTTGTTCCGAAGATCTTTTACATTTTTGGTTAGGTTAATTACTAGGCTTCCCCCCCTCTCCTGCCCCCGCAGGCTATTGCAAATGAGGTTTTCATAATTTTCCATTCTGCTTGCACATTATTGGCCTACAAAAAGGCTCATTTTTTTTTTTGGTCAGTAGTGGGGCTAAGGCCTGGGCACTGTCCTGAGCCTCTTTCGCTCAAGGCTAGCACTCTACCACTTGAGCCATATCACCACTTCCTGTTTTTTCTTTTTATGTGGTGCCAAGGAAGCAAACCCAGGGCTTCATGCATCCTAGGCCAGCACTCTACCACTAGGCCATATTCCCAGCCCTCAGATATACTTTTAATATTCCTGATGTTGCACCTTTACACAGACTGTTTTTTAGAGGGATTAAATGGGCAATGTGAATCCTATTCAGGTCTTAACT